ATATTCCGAATGAAAGATATCACTTGATAATAAATAGTTTCATGTAATCATAGGTACAATATGTACAACAATCAATTAACTACACTAATTAAAGTTTTATATCATCGAGGCCGAAAAACTAATTTAAAATGAAAAATATTTAATTTTTAAATCAATAACGCAAGCGTTAATCAATCCATGGTTGTTGTCTGCACTCTGGAAAGAGACTTCACTCTTAATCTTATAATTTGTGCAATGAGCTTTTATCTCTAAGAGCACGATTGTAAGCTCTTAAAATTTAAACTAAGCATTTCATTTCAAGCCTCGAATTATTTCTCGCTTCCTCAAAGGCATTTGTTTATCAGTCCTCTAAAAAGGATTAATCGCGAAAATGTCGATAACGCTCAATGAAGTGAGTGAGGCGAGGAAAAGGTTAATACTAAATATGCTAACGACAGCGCTGGGCCCCTTTTGAGTAAACGCCGCTCTGTTCGTAGACTTGTTGAAGGAAAACGACACAGAGTTTCAAGAAATGAAGAATTATCCTGAATCATTATTAATCGATTTAATTTATTTTAGCCACATATGGTTCTATGAACATGCCGTTTTTAATTAAATGATTACTCTGTTTCATTAAGGTACCTTTACATACCATCATCAATATATATGGTTAAAGGTCAGTTGGGTGCTCGAAAATTCTGAAATTAGTTATATTGGGGTTAAGCCAAGTTTTCACCCAATTCTATCAATTTTAGGCCCAATTAAAGGATTCTATCCGAATTTCAATTATATATTTCACACATGGATCGATAGTTTCGGAAAAAGGTCAGCYATAAGCATTGGGGTCCACTTATTCGGTTCCTAGSGGTTTGAATAGTTTTGGTTCCTATCCAGAGGGTTTGAAATGAACACTTTGGAATTATGAAGCAAATATGAATATGGAAATTTAAACAACATTTTTTTAGGATGTGACAAGCTGTTTAAAGACAATGAGGAATACATTGAAAATTTGGTTCGTATAATGATCACAACGTACATAGTTTTCAAAATATCTGTAATGAGTTGATCGAACTTCATGTTTTTAAATAATCACTGATATTAAATAAAAGGGTAAGAAGATTATTATTTCGCTTGTCRTCTTCCTATTTGAAAGCAAATGAGTATCTGTTGCTTCGGAATGAGGGATTTGAAATTACGCCGCCTTGAAACAGGCCATCAAGTAAAATGGAATAATAGTAATTATTTGTGGAATCMATGCGGAAACCTACGCCATCATACTGTTATTGCGCTCTTAAACTAATTGAATCTTGTTTGTTTTCGTTGTTAACTAAATAAAATAAATAAAGCTGTCACTGTTAAGTAGTATTCACGATTTTTTTTKGCAAATGCGATTAGTTTTCAGGTAACGCTTGCTTTAGTATATCTGYCACTTTGGCTATAAGCCACCGCATTGTATGTATATATGAAAGTGTACATATAAGAGTATTCGTGTACTTCATATTCCCAAATACCTTTCTTTCGGTCATAAAGTTGATTCTGATTACGAGCTACTTAGTGACTATTTACTATCTACTATCAGATATACACTCAGAGAAAAAAACCCACAGTAGAAAATTTGAAAATATTCAATTTTGAAACTGTCGCCATTCGCTCGCTAATCGAAAAAAGGATAGTGGGCRTCCGAAAAAGTAAAATCTCATCATGAACAACAAATTAAACGGATGTGTATTACTGTGCTATGTCAACATACTGGAATAAACAATTCAATTTTTTTACGAAACTATAAATAAATACAATACTATAAATAAAAGAGAGCGTTTTTTGGAAAGCTGTGTTTTATCAACCCTAAAGCATTCGCCTTATTTAATGGAGTGTGGTGGCTATAACCAAGTTTGGTGTTGGGCAGCAAAAATACATGGCAATTTTGAAAGAAGTCGTTTTGCCAACAACAGCTGAACAGCTGTTCGAATACACTGTAAAAGTTTTTTTTTCAGGATGATTCAGCACCTTGCTATAGAGGAACGGTAATTAAAGCATAAAAATACTGAAATATATTTTTCAATAATGCATTACAAACAATTATATATTACAAACCAAAAACGTTTTATGGAATCTCTCACTTAGCCAGGAAACAGTCCAGATTTCACTCCAATTGATTTAATAGTTTTATTTTGCTTTGTTATGTATGCTATTGTTAAATACAGAACATATAAAATGTAAAATACTTAAATAACTTGTGTTAAAGTTATATTATTGTTCAAAACAAATTTTAGTTGTAAGGTTTGTTATGTGTGTGTGTGTTTGCATTTTTCATTAAAACAAGTGTTAAACTAGAAGTTTATTATAAGAWTTTCATATGCCTTAAACATAAACTAAATTAAAGACTCCTTATCTTAAGAAAACATAAAATGTCTATTAAGTGYGTGGGTTTTTTCGCCGAGTGTACATACATACGTATACATACGAACTTAACTACTGAACTTGCAGAACACATACAAGTATATGCCAATTCGCAATGAAAAATTCAAAAATATAGCGGGCGTACATACATATGTATGTAAAATGTGACGAGTGTTTTTACAATGTTAAGCACCCAATTATTAAATATTTTCTTACAATGAAATGAAAACTTGGTAGATAATATTTCACAATTATTTTTAATTTTTATCAGCACTTAATGATTAAAATGTTTGCTGATGCGCTCTCCATACAAAGAGAGAGACGAGCGATACGATCTGATGCGGTACAAATAGTGAGGCAAGTGATTGGCAAAATTTCAAATAGTCGTCAGTGAACCGTTGAACTGCATAAACGCTGTTTATTAACAAGAATATAAAAGTTTGTTGTCATAATATATACTATATACAGAGTTTAGGATGTCATCCGTAACCGATCAGAATCAGAATGAAGCCTCAGAAATAAAACCAGGAACAGGTTTCGAAATTCCAAAATGGCTAACGGCAGAACTATTTGAAAATGTTCTTATCGAGTCCATTCCGAAATTTCGAAAAATCACACATTTCGAGGCTAAGCCCGCATTGGCTGCTGGAGAAAACTATGCCACTGTCATGCTACGTATTCATGTAGATATTGAATTAACAGGTTAATGAGTATTTATGAAATATATAAAATATACAATTTACTAAATAATATGCTTTTATTGCCCTTCGACTCCGCCCGTTGAACTGCAGATGCCTTAACGGATTCGATTTCGCTCATGWTGAAGCTGCCACAGGAAAACGAAATTCTTAAGGATATGATGCGCAAGCATAACATTTTCGAARTCGAGTACAAGATGTACCATGAAGTTCTACCCGAGTTCAAGAAGATGTACGTAAATGCCGGRGTCAATGCAATGTTTTCCGCAAGTTGTTATAACATCGATACACCTTCCGAATTTGGAGTAATATTGCTGGAAGACCTTCGCCCACTTGGTTATAAGAACGCCAATCGATTGGAGGGACTAAACTTGGTGCATACAAAGGCAGTGCTTGAGCGTTTATCGCAGTGGCATGCTGCTTCGGCCACACGTGTCGAGACTAAAGGCATATTCCCGGAGATGTTCATTAAAGGTATATTCAGCGAATCCCAGCGACAAACTATGGAAGATTTCAGTACAACAATTAAATCACAATTTTTATCGTCTGTAAAAACAATTAAGGGTAGCGAAGATTACATGGACGACTTGGTAAGTGACTTATTAGACGCTATTTACTTCCAAACTTTCTAATCGGTTTCAATTATTTGAACACTCAGGTGAATGTTTTCAATTATATTACCGAACTATTATTCAATACATCAAAGTATRATCCAAATGAATTTAACGTTTTGAACCATGGCGATTGCTGGAGCAACAACATCATGTTTAAATACGATGCTGAAGGGAAAATTGTAGACACGGTCCTCATCGATTACCAAATGGTGAATTATGGCTCTCCTGCGAAGGACTTGCTGTACTTCTTGGTATCGTCTACTGCATATGATTTAAAAATCAAAGAATTCAACTATTTTATTAAATTCTATCACAAAAACTTAGTGAAAAACCTAACAATTTTAAAGTAYCCCAAAAAATTGCCGACATTGAAAGAAATTCATTGTGCAATTATAAAATATGGAATATGGGGTAAGTAATTTYAGAACCATTTGACTTATTGCAATTATGTGGTCCCAAAGCTAATTTATTCATATTATTATGCCGTATATATTTCAACATATCAATAGCATTATCGACGTCTTTCGGTGTTATGGCAGTGGCTTTATTGGAATCTAATGACGATTCTAATATAGACAGCTTCATTAATGATTCGGATGCTGGTGATCGGTTCAGAAATTTGATGTTCTCCAACCCCCGATACCGCAAACATTTGGAAATTTTGATGCCATGGATGAGCAATCGCGGTGTTTTCGAAGTATGARTTTTAATTACCACAACCCTTGCGAATCGAATGGGAAACACTGAGTGATTTTGTAAATACAAATAGATTTTTTAGGCATTAATGCCATTCAAATAATCCATTGGAACACTAAACGCTCTTCTGTAATGCAGCAGTGGGCCAACTTCTGTCCTACATCAGCTTATTGTATCTCCGTACTAATATCAACGGGAATATGAATATTAAATTAAGCTCACATAATAAAAGTTTTCGTATTTTATATAAATGTATAACATTGCAAGTCAAAATAACAACATAAAAAGTAACATTCCATAATTAATTTATAATTTTGTACTTCCTTCCTAATTGCTAGCTAAGCTTCTGCTAATGCATTCTTCTGAATGCATTGCCATGACCTCATTTACGATCAAAATATTCACTTTCAATGCTTCATATTGTGGAAGTTCTCGCTGCTTTAATTTTTAGAGAAAGAAACAAGTCTATAGTTCACTGATACTCATCCAAGATATTTTTTACGAGCCATCGATGTTTTAAGAGYAAATTTTTTAAGGCTCTCTTAAAAAAGTGATCAAGTACATGAGTACCTTAAATTAGCTGAAGAAAACACAATATGCACTTGTATGAGAAAGCTTTGGCGCAAAAGCTCTTTTTGAGCAAAAAAATATACAAACTCGTATTTTTAATAACTTGTTAATCACCTCATCGCTTCAATTCAACGTCGTCTTAGGCCGGATTAACAAAGCAGTCTAAATTACCCAAGAAGAAATCGAACGAAGCTGGATAGTGAAAATACAAGTAAAATTATAGTAAAATACAAAGAAAGCAATTTGAAAAATATTCCAGACGCCGTTGTATTTACTACTTTGTATCCTTTTATAGAACCGAAAGTGATTTTGGACATTTTGAAGTCATTCTGACTGTAACTTTTGCGAAGCTTCGTTCTTTTCATATAGTTAGTAAAATTTCATTTCCACGCCTGCAGAAAGAATTTTTTTCAGTAATTGAAATTTTGAACTGAAACTTTTAAAAAATTTGCAATCTTATTTAAATGATTTAATGCCACTAGGTGCACATCTATCAACACCAATTAAAACTAAATTGAAGCGCGAAASAATTAATGTAAGATGTTCTTCCAAGTTGAAAGTGAATCACAACCTGGAATGTACATGTCGCAGCCGCAGGGGATTTCTACCTTTTATATTCAATGCAGATTCAGATACATATGTATTTGTGTGCGTTAAGAAATCGCATCACATGTCCCGGTAATAAACAGACATTCAATGTACATATATGTATGTATATACTAAATTTATAATGCAAGCAGGCAACAGTTCGAATCAGCCAAGTACGCTCACAACAGACTTATCAATCAAACATTATTAGTGGCACTCACGGTTCTTGTGATATTGCCTATCGCATAGTGATAATGATACCATATATAGAAAGTGTCGATAGTGGCCCAGGTATAATTCGGAAAATAATCAGTTGGGGTGAAGTAATTGTTTTCAACGAATATAATTCGACTTATGCGAATTCGGAGCATTCTTAACCAAACCAACCACATTTCATACCAGAACCAGCAATCTTCGGCAAACATTGGGTGCGACCGCTGCAATTAGGCAAATATATAMATCTTTATAGCAAGAGGTAAATGTTAATTATCAAGTTTGTCCAATTTAGAATTATACTTTATAAGCAAACACACTATGTATGCTTCTTTCGATATAAAATAAAGGAAATGTGCTGAGAAATACTCAGTACCAAAAACGCCATTGGGTTGTGATTGATTAAATGGTAAAACTGGTTTAGTTTGCATGTATGGACAACGTAAAAATAAAATAAGTTCTGATTTACTACAATTGTTTATAATAGTAATTTAAGTTTAAAAGATAGTGAAAAGTGATTATTATCTGCCATCATGAAATATCTGAACGTGCTCCTTAACTCAGAGTGTGATAGCATCGGATAGAGAGTTCTCAATAATTTTGACTTTTTTAAAATAAAATTCGAAAATTTAAAATTTCATTGGTATATGATAACATAGTCAATGTTAATATAACGAAAAATACATAAGTATGTATGAATGTAGGTACCTTGTGCAGTGAGCATAAGAAATTAATCTAAGGTATATAGTATACTCTCACAACAAGTGAAAATATTAACGAATKCATTCAGCCTTCTATAWCGGATTTTCCTACTTACGCARAAGATATCAAAAATACCATATATGTACGCAATGAGGTCAAAGTTACTTACTAACGCACGAATTGTGAGGGTATACAATGTTCTACCCAATGTTAGTCACCTGTAACGTGTTTTTTTTCGCCAAATTAGACGTTGTACGAGGGTGGAATTTTAATATTCGTTTATGTATACTCATGTATTTTTAGGGATGACACGCTAAATGAAGAAGGAGGGCTGTATAGCTCCACCCACAAACTGAAGCGACATCTGTTTTTCGTTGATCCAAAAATGTTACCATCAAAAAACTACTTTTCCACCTTATAACCTCAAATGTGCGWTTAATTAATAACATGCATATGTTTACATCTATTCTTCTAAGGTTTACCAAATTACAATGAACGACACACCAAACGGAAATGTCGAGAATGATGATGGCAAGCTACCCGAGTGGTTGGAAGCAGTAACTTTTGAAAATGCCGCACGCAACCATATTGGAAAAGATTTTAGCAAAATTGTCAACGCTCGGTCTGAAATTGACCCGAGTAGCAACGCCAACTATTCATCTTTGCTGATGCGTCTCCATCTGGATGTTGAGCATACAGGTTTTTATGTGATTCTAATATTAGATTCTGTGCTCTTCACATAATCTCTTCATACAAATGTTTTATTTTAACACTTTAACAATTTCACATACAGATGGCAGCTTAAAAACTGTTACTTTCGTCCTTAAAGTACCGCATTGCAACGAAATGATGTCAAAAATAATAAATCTGTTAAAACTGTTCCCGAAGGAGGAAAAAACGTACCACAGTATTATACCGAAATTCGAAGCGCTTTACAAGCAAGCGGGCAGTGAAATTAAATTTGCTCCGAATGCGTATCAAGTCGATCGCGACATAGGTGTCGATTATATTTTGCTAGAAGATCTACGTCCAAGAGGTTATAAAAATGCCAATCGAATCAAAGGTTTAGACTTGGAACATGCCAAGTGTGTGCTCCAGAAACTGGCTGCATTCCATGCTGCATCCGCGTGCTACGTGGAGCACTTTGGAATGTTTCCTGAGGAATTCACTGTTGGAATTTATTCAAAGAATAATACAGAGCTACTGAAGCAATTCAACTCGTCTAGTGCATTCTTAACCCAATTGAAAAAGTGGAAGAATGGTCAAGCGTACTATGAAAAGTTGGTAAGTGGCAGGATTAAGGACATCTAACTGGACTCGTTATATTCTCGAAAATTGTTGCTACACGAGTATAGTATGTACCTAAAAACCAAACCTACTTGACTACTTCTTAGAATCAGCAAATCAAAATTTCGCTAATAAGCAGATTACTCAGAATATTGAATAGGATGTCTTTAAAAAAAAACTTATGTATACTTAAATATKCACATTCCAATTTTTAGGCTGACAGCGACAGCTACTTGGTGGATCGCCTGCTGCAGAATCAGACTTATAATCCAAGTGAATTCAACGTACTCAACCACGGCGATTGCTGGGTGAATAACATTTTATTTAAGTATAATGCGTTCGGCAAAATTACGGATACTCGTTTTATTGACTTTCAAGTGGGCAAATACGGCTCGCCAGCTAATGATCTGTATTACTTCATAMTATCCTCCACTGCCGCAGACATCAAAATAGTACATTTCGATTACTTGGTTCGTTACTATTTCGATAACCTGGTTGAGAATTTAAAACTTCTTCAATATCACAGGCCTTTGCCGAAACTTCGTAATCTCCACTCCGTGCTACTGAAACATGGTCTAACAGGTAAGAAAGTAGATAAAATCTATTTATGCCCGTTTAAATTATAGACATGAATTAATTTTTTAAGCTTATTTGGCGGTCTCTAAAATATTGCCCGTCGTGATGTTGGAGAAAAGTGATGATGAAACCAATAAAAATGGGACGCAAAACGAGGATAAACTTAAATTTGCCATGTATACTAATCCAAAATATGTTGAGTCTGTATCAGAGCTTTTACCATGGTTGGATAATCGTGGTTTGCTGGACTGGAAGGTCTAGCAACTTTTAAATTCACCGAGCTTTACATAGATGGTATCATATATTTCTCTTGTACTTGTATATATAAAGTGTATTAAAACAACAAAGAGTGCTAAAAGTAAATTCAGCTTGTCATTATGAAAACAACCAACTTGTCTATTYTTTGTCTTCAATTGAGCTGGCACTATCCGCATATTTGAAAATGGATAAAAATTGGATATACGAAGATCCAGTAAATATTTGTGGTTTCTAGTATTTTGAATAATTTGACACATTCATTATACACGGAAATGGTGATATACATATGATCAGCGCTTTTGGATAAAGAGTTTCACAAACCCTTACTTTAAAGAGGCTATTTTAGATATCTTTACATTTTATCATAATTGCAGATAATTCAATTTTATAAAATAATTGCTTGTGTCTTACTTAATTCTCATGAACATTCTTATATGTATATTTAATATAAATGTAATCTATTAATTCAAACTGGCTATAGGAGTCCTAATAGCGTAAAATATCTTAATGAAACTGAGTAGAATGTGAGTTATTGCAAGTAAAGAAGCACGATTTCATATGCTAAATWTCTTAGGAAGCTCTATTATCCTCACTTATTTCTTTAAAATAATTTTGTACATACTCAGTTGTACTTTGAAAGGCAAATAATGAAAGCTGAAAACAGATCGTAGCTGAATAGCAGAGAATATTATTATAAAGTCATTAGGAATCAATTAGGCAAATAGTACGAGTAATAACTGTTATTATGCTCTCTATGTAAATATTAATCAACTCTCTGAGCTTTTTGCAAACTCATTTATACCATATAAACAACAAGTGTACACAACCGACACTCGCTTAGCTTCAGTGGTTTTGCGAGACAAGTTAAATAATGTATACAAATATGTATGTATAAATATAGGGCTACGAGCATGTACTTACGTCTAACAGTGTTAACTGAAAGCTAGCCAGAAGACACTTTGAACAAGCATCTAGTTGCCGCTGAACATTAGGTTACGAAAGAGCTCTCAAAGGTTTAAATATAAAAGACACATAACAGAGAATAAAATAATGCCCGACAATAGCCGAAAATTCAATAACAATATGCAGTTTGATATTCCTAAATGGATAAATGCTAAATATTTCGAGAARGTATTGCTTCGGGAAGATTCAAATTTTCACAAAATATTGAAATTGACCCCTATCGCGGCTACACCTCCGGGTGAGAATTACACATCGCTCATGATGCGCATTTTAATGGACATTGAACTAAAAGGTACGTGTTTTCGTGGCCGGATAACTACCAACCGAAGTTTAGAAGATCAGCATATTTTAGAAAAGCCGATTCCATAAAAACGTCAAATGAAATGAAACAAAAAGCAATAATAAAAAAGTTAAAATGTAAATCAAGATAACATCGGCTTTGTACAAACTTATGAAACGAAACTGTGAAAATATTGACAGTCAGGATAACGGTGGCTATTACTGCTAATAAGGATATTTTAAAATATTAATAATTATATCAACATGAGTAAAAATATAGTTTTTATATTACTTTGTTTTCTCTTTTATTTTCTAACTATATTCGAGATGGTTACACACAACAGAAGTCGTATATCGTTAAAACAATGCTGGATGATGACAAGGGCGGAACACTTATCAATTCACTGAATCTCTTTCCGAAGGAAAAACTTATGTATGAACAAATTATTCCTCAACTGGAACAATTTTATCATGATCTCGGCAAGAAAGTTAAATTCGCACCCAAGTGTCAATGGATAGAGCAAAAATCAAGTCGCATCACTATCGTTCTCGAAGATTTAAATACAAAGAAGTTTCGAAACATTAATAGACTCAAAGGATTCGATATGCCGCATATGAAGCGTGTTTTAGAGAAGTTAGCTGAGTTCCACGCTTCCAGTGTTATATGGCAGGAAAAGTACGGTGCATATCCAGATCACCTCCAAAATATCTATCTACCCGCCAATTATGAAAAGTCGAAATCTTATCAAGCGCGTATACAAAGCTACAAAGCAGCAATGGCGACATGGGGCTTAGAAGATTATGACAAATATATGGAACGTATTGTGAGTATAACTAAAAATAGACACTGTCGATTTCAAATTATTGGTAAGAACCCCTTTTTACCTTTTAATTTCAGCCAAATGCTGAACAATTTGTTAATGCAGCAATGGGCTGTTTCAGCACAGATCCCGCCGAGTTTAAGGTATTGAATCATGGAGATTTCTGGTCTAGCAATATTATGCTAAATTACACCTCAAGTGGAGAGGTGAATCAAATACGCTTCGTAGACTTTCAACTATGCAAATGGGGCAGCCCAGCACAGGATCTATGGGAACTAATAATATGCTCCGTTGAGAGCAACTTGCGTATTTGTGAATTTGACCACTTCATACGAATTTATCATACACATCTGCTTAAATGTTTAAGACTATTACATTATGTCAAACCACCGCCGAAACTCTCCGACCTACATATTAGCATGCTGAAATATGGATTTTGGGGTGAGAGTTATTATCTATATATACGCTTTGTTGAGATATATTTTTTTATCACATAACATATGTGTATATCTTTAACAGGGTATAGTACAACATTTACACATCTGGTTTTGATACTGATACCTTCAGATAAGGACGCCAGTTTATTAAAGCTTATACAGCCCGGGGACGAAGGCAACAAATTCCGACACAAGGCTTATACCAACCCGCTGTATGTGCGTGCTATGTTGGATATTTTACCATTTTTGTATAGACGTGGTATTTTGGATTTTTAATAGACATTATATGAGAAACAAAAGCCGATACACTTATTTATCAGGACATGTATTCAAGCAAGGAATATTCATTGAGTGATAAAAAATAGTTTAGTGCTTAATAGCTTTGTTCAATTTATTTTCGCTATTTATTTAAAATAGTTAAGGTTTGCCGACATATGTTATAAATATTTACATGTGATAAGAACTTATCTACAAACTTGTACATAGACATACTTATGTATATATAAGTATATGAAAGCTTTCTATAGTCAATGCCGATTAAAAAAGCTTGAAATTGTTTTATGTATATTCTACTCTTCTGCTATGAATACACCAAAGCACCAAAGCACCAAAAAAAGATACCTATCGACACACACACTATAGGTTTTGAAAGCATTTTCTGATTAACATTAGACTTTCAAAGCTACATTTTTATTTTCTATAATTTCAAAAGAGCTTTCTGTTGCTATCAAAATCAGGTGTTTACGCATAGGCCGTATTAAAATGTACTATATACTAAGTATATATACGTGCATTCTTATAAATTTCGCTCAGCATAGAGAAGCTATAATAAAATACAGAGATACAATCGTACGTAAAATAAAGTGTGGAAACAAGCAAAAAATTCAATGGGAATGAACTAAAAGCTAACTGSTGAAGCACGTGAAAGCCATCAACTCGCAGTCACTATCAAAGGCGGCAGGTTTTCAGAAGGACAGTACTATTCTGATCGTCGCTAAGTTATAAGCAGTAACAGATCTAGACATAACGCGGCAGTATTTACAAATTGAGTCAACTTCAGTCAGGTGACTATTAAAACAATTATAAAAGTGATGTTATGAAAATTTTACCGGATTTTTGTTAGAATGGGGACAGGTGCCAAAAACTACCAGCCACCGGAATGGATCAATGCTGAATTCTTGCAAGATGTGTTGAAGGAATATTTCAAAGACAATACTATAGAAGTGCAGGAAATAGTGGTGAAAGACGCGCTGCTGACAGCTGATAACGGCAGTGGCTTTGCGAGYGAAATGCATCGTGTGACTTTTAATTTGGCGCGGAAAGACGGTACCGGYCGCTTCTCGGTCATAATTAAAGTAAGTGTGAGCTTATTATGATTGTTGTACATATGTGTCACAGCTGAATTAACAWATTGTTGTGTTAGGATCATCCAAAAGGTTATACTGGTGTTGTYGCGCACAAAAGTAAATTATTTAAACGCGAAATTCTGGCCTATAAAGAAATTCTGCCACGCGTGGAGGAGTTGCTGGCCTCCATTGGTGACAAAACGAAAATTGCGCCTGCATGCTATTATACCACTGAAACGCYTGAGCCCTTCCTTGTGCTGGAGGAYATGCAACTAACGGGTTATGAAAACTTTGAAAGATGTCGTTTGCTTAATCTAGACTATACTCTGCCGACCATCGAAAGGCTGGCAAAGTTACACGCCTGTTCCGCGGTCATTGCCAAAGAGACACCGGAAATCTTCGAATTTTTCAAAGAAGCCCCCATTTCCAGGAATCCAGACCGCAAGGAATTTCTTTCATTCTTTCCTGTAAATATAAGATGTATTGCTGAGGAATTGACTCACTGGAAGGGTTATGAAGAGATCACAGAGAAAATGTTCAAATTGGCTGAAAATGTGCTTCAAAATGCACTTMAAATGTACGAATCACATGATCAGCGCTTCCAAGTTTTCAACTTGGCTGATTTGTGGATTGACAACTTAATGTTCCATATAAATAATGACACAAAGGATCCCGATGATGTGGTCATGGTGAGAATCCAGTATGTCGTACATTTGATAAATGGATTTGACATCTTTTTTGCAGTTAGACTTCCAGTTATCTTACTACGGCTCACCGGCGGTGGATCTGAATTACTTCCTTTTTGGTTCATTAAATGAGAATGTGCGGAAAGTACATTTTAAATTCATCGTGCGCGAATATCATCGCATATTGAAAGAAACATTAGAAAAGCTTCATTATAACGGTTATATACCAACGTTGAAGGACATAAATATCGAGCTTATTAAGAATAGCCTTCAAGGTACACATATGAGTTATAGTATAAATTCAGCGTATGCCCGATATGGTTCATATTTTAATTCCAGGTGTCATCGCTGCTACATGCCTCACACCACTTATTTTCATGGAATCCACAGGAGACGAAAAACTGGAGAATCTTACCTCACGAACGGAAGAAGGCGATGAAATGAGACGACAAAATGTGGAAAATCCCAAATATCGGGCATTTCTGCAGCGCACTGTCAAGGAGTTCGAGTTGTGCGGTTTTTTGGACAATTGAAAATTATATATCCATTTGTTGTGCATCAAATATAGAAATATAATATATGGACATACGAAGATATGAGAGAATTTTTAAGTTGCAGAAATCATATATACTACACAATACGATAAAAATTGCAAGGCAGAATTCCTATTAAAAAAATATAGTTGTCTAATTTCGACCAGGATAACAACATATTTTAATGTCTTAATCACTAAACGAAAATCAGTTTAAGTCCATACTATTGACAAACGTTAAATCAATGAATTATCAAAAAATAAATAAAACTTATTTTGTATACAAACTATTTGCAGCTTATCGTGTTACGCTTAATTGCTTATCTGCCACCAGTTTGAGAAGCACCGAAAACTGTAAGTGTAGTGCACTCGGTGTATAATAATCGAGAAGTATACCAATTAAAACAAGTAAGGATGGGCTAAGGTCGGGTCCAACCGAGCATTTTCTACTTCTGAGAAATGCTTCAAGATGTAAAACGTGAACCAGAGGATCGAAATCCAAGCAAATATWTATATATATATATTATATTTTTCCCAATACCACATACTATTAACATGCCACATACCAAAAACCCAATTATATGGAGTAAAGTGAGCCAGAAGTTCAAAAATCTTAAGGCTCTAAAGGCATTATTCTTGCATAGTTTATCCCGTTATACTAATTACTCTATGGGAAGTAGGCGTGGTTACTGCCTAATTTCATCCACTTTTATGCTGTGATATAAGAATATCAGAAGWATGCCATGTAACGTTTTATGGGGAGTGAGCGGAGTTATCTTCAAATTTCATCCATTTTCACACTGTCGGTAGGAGTTCTTATCATATTCGAGCATATCAAATTTGGTTGTTGTAGGTTTARTGTTTTAGAAGATACAGTGGYGGTCATATACTTAGCACACAATTCRAACGATGTTTTATTCGTAACGGTACAAAATTCAAAGGCGCAACTTTGTCTAGACATGATCAAGGCGCCAAGCTAAGATATCGCAGTTTCGTCGCTTTGTTTTTGTTACTGTCGTAAATAGAAGGATTATTTAACGATCAGCAGCTTTTATGAGTGGACACATATTTAGCACACTTCTTAGACTGTCGAAGTTTTTTAAAGTTTTAAGAAATATTTATTTTCGGATACAAAAAATTTTGTTGGGGAGAGATTATTTAATATAAAAACTGTGGTTTTGAATTAAATTTAAATTTAAATTTACTGATTAGATATGGCTAGAGGTTTGTGTTCCATAGAATATAGGTTTCATCTAAAACGATAAGACGTCGTTTGAATGAAGGCGGACTGCGTGGATGCATTTCTCAGAAGAAACCGTTTATTTCTAAGAAGAACTTGGAGGCACGCCTTTCATTCGCACGAGCCCACAGCAACAAACCACTTTCTTTTTGGAAGAACGTTCTCTGGAGTGATGAATCTAAGTTTTGTAGATGGAGATGTAGATGTAGTGGATCTGACCGTAAACATTACGTCTGGCGCCCCAGTATCCAGCAGCACAATTCTAGGTATACACAAAAAACAGTGAAACATGGAGGAGGAAATATTATGGTGTGAGCGGCCTTCTCTTGGCACGGTGTTGGACCTATCGTTAGGATAACGTCAAAAATGGATCAATTTGTTTACAAAAACCTGTGTGCTTACCTGTGGAACAATGTAGACTTTTGGTGGAGAGTTTGCCTCAAAGATGTTCTGAAGTGATCAAAAATAAGGGTTTTCCAACGAAATATTGAAGTAAAACTTGGTTCGGAGCGGATTGCCAAAGTTTTTGTGGATAAACCTGAAATATGCTAAGTATGTGTCCAACGTAGTAATCATTTATTCTTACTTTTTTATACTCTCGCAACAATGTTGCTAAAGAGAGTATTATAGTTTTGTTCACATAACGGTT